TCCTGGTCAGAGCACAGGTCATTGATAGAACAAGGAGCTGTGTAGAAGGGCTCATGTTCTCCTTTGCTGGGGAACTGTGGAATCAGAGCTCTGAGGTCTTGAGTTCCTTCTATCACATTTTATCACATGCTGTGTTGAGGAGGGGACACTCCATCTCCATCTCTGCCCTTTGGGGCTTAAGGAGGAAGACACAGCCATGTCCACTGCTGAGAATGGATTGTTGGAATTGACACACCTTGCCTCTGATCAGCAAACAGAACTACAACATCTAAAAAATTAGAGAATCCACATCTCAGAGGAATCCAAATATAAAACAGCCCCATCCAAAGCATTGGTAGGGTAGCCATGGAAAAAGCCTGTCTTGGAGATAGAATTATCTGGGTTGAGAATATAGTCTTTGCCCATTCAAAAAGCTTTGTGAATCTGTGTCAAGAAAAGATTGAGCTTCTCCAAGCCTCAGATTCCTAAACCTAATGCTACTCTACAGGTGACTTTAAGAATAAAGTGCCACATACTGCCACATTAACAGTAGACAATCAGTAAGTGTTAGTTTTCTTCCATATAGTCCTTTCAAAGGATGAATTGTCCCAATGGCACAAAGATGAATTGTCCCAATTAAGTGACACTATTTATGGAGTTTATCCCTACCTTAAGAAATGAAATTCTTGGGACTGGAAAGAAAGCTCAGTGATTAAAATCATGTACTGCTCTGAAAGAGGACCGGGCTCCATTCCCAGCACCCACATGGGGCAGCTCCAGCTCCAGGACCATCCAACACCTCCATCTGACTTCCTTACACACCTGCTCTCATGTGTACATATCCTCCTTCCCTGACTCCTATAAATATTTTTAATAGAAGAAAATAGAGTTCTCAGTATCTAGCCATTCCACATGAAAGGTTAATAGCTTATGGAATAGGCAAATGTCCAACAGCAGCTGCCTTGGGAAGGAGGAGCCTGGTAATAGTTGTTATTTCAAAGGGTTTATGAAGTCATGGAATCTGATTTCACACCGATGATGTCTCCTTTCAGCACCCTAGGACAGAATGAGGCCTCCTGGGTTATACAGCTACCTTCCATTGCGCCATTCCAGTTATAAGTCTGTATTATTTGTATGATCATTTGCTTTTGTGCCCTCCAAGAACAAGACCTTGCTTAGCACTGTTCCTGCCACATCCTGCCACATAGCAAATGAATGAATGAATGAATGAATGAATGAATGGACAAAAATGTTTTCACTGGCTTGACCCTCCTTCTAGCCATATATGGGTTCTGTTAGGCAACCAGGGGCAGGGCTTACTCCTCTTACTGACAAGAACATTGCATGAAGTGGGTGGCACAGCTGTTTCAGTCCAGACCTCTAGACAGCCAGTTGGTGCTCTTTCCCCGACTCTCCTCTGTCATCACTCTCCAGGCTGGCCCTTGTGTCTATTCACATGTAACATTAAACAGCGTTGTCCCCTGGGTCCATTTGATGGCTAGTTGTCACATTTTATGCACAGAAGAGCCCCATCCTAAATCAATGAGTGATGGGCTGTTCATTGGCAGGCAGCAACCCCATCTGATGATGTCAAAGCTGGTCCTCATTTGTAAAGCTACACAAACAGAAAAGATACCCAGAGTTGGGGGATGTAAACTGGTTAGGGACACATTGTTCAGCCTGACTTGCTTTTAAAGTTTGGCCATTCTATCCATTTCAATGTGCTTTCCCTGCTTCTGATCCTTTAAAAACATTTTCTCCCTCAAATTCACTCTAAGTCTTTATGGCAATTCTCTCTGCCCTTTCTTTTTCTTTCTTTTGAAACAAGGTCTCAATATATAGCCTTGGCTGGCCTGTAGCTCATTATGTAGACAGGGCTAGTCTTGAACTCACAGAGATCCGCCTACTTTTGTTTTAGAAAAGTGCTGGGATTAAAGGCACATGCCACCACTCCTGGCCCTTTCTTTTTAAAAACACATTTTATTATTATTATTATTATTATTATTATTATTATTATTATTATTATTGTTACTGTGGGGCTAAGAGACAAGCATACATGCCCCATCCAAAGCTTTGGTAGGGTAGCCATGGAAAAAGCCTGTCTTGGAGATAGAATTATCTGGGTCAAGAATACAATCTTTGCCCATTCAAAAAGCTTTGTGAATCTGTGTCAAGAAAGGATTGAGCTTCTCCAAGCCTCAGATTCCTAAACCTAATGCTACTCTACAGGTGACTTTAAGAATAAAGTGCCGGGCTGGAGAGATGGCTCAGAGATTAAGAGCACCGACTGCTCTTCCAGAGGTCCTGAGTTCAATTCCCAGCAACCACATGGTGGCTCACAACCATCTGTTATGAGATCTGGTGCCCTCTTCTGGTGTGCAGATATACATGGAAGCAGAATGTTGTATACATAACAAATAAAATCTTAAAAAAAGAATAAAGTGCCACACTAACACTAGACAATAAGTGTTAGTTTTCCTCCATGCAGTCCTTTCTTTAGCTCCATACAAAGATGAATTGTCCCAACTAAGTGATACTATTTATGGAGTTTATCCCTACCTTAAGAAATGAAATTCTTGGGACTGGAGAGAAAGCTCAGTGGTTAAAATCATGTACTGCTTTCAAAGAGGACTGGCATAAATGTGGTGGTCAGAGAACGGCTTAAAGGAGTCAGTTCTCTTCTACTGTGGGAATCTAAGGATCAACTCAGGTCATTAGGTTTGCCCAGCACCTTCCCCCTCAGAGCCATCTCCTCATTATCCCCTCCCATATTATCCTGCTCCTTTCTCCTTAACACAGGGTGTCACTGTGAAGCTCAGAGATCTTCCTGTCACAGCTTCCCATGTGCTGAGACTTCAGGGATCACCCGCCACACTGAGCTTTAGCTTAGATTCTTGATTTTCTTTCATTAACCACTCTTTTCTAATTAGCCAGCTTTCTGATAGAGACACGATAAACACACACAAATTTTCTCTCTATAAAACATAGTTTATGATCTGGTCTTATTGTTTTATTACATCCACTTTTCTCTCCTTTCACCTCTCCGTCTTTGGGGATCCTTTTAAAGTGGACGTTTCAGGAGAAGTTGAACTGAACATCTTCAGACATAGTGAAAACCACCTGGTGTGGGAGTGGCACAGACAGGTGTTTGGGCATGGTCCAGTTTGCCTAGAACTAGTCAGGGTTTCACTGGGCCCAGAATCCACATCTCTGGGGTCTCCCTGGCTCTTATGTTCCCTAGTCCATTTCACCTTCTAAAGACACTGCCTAGGCCACTCCAGAGCTCACTCAAGGCCATTTATCACGGAGAAAAGGTCACCCTTAAGCTTACTATGGTCTGGAAATGCTTCTGACAAAATTGTCATTGTAACAACTTCCTTGAAGAGATTTCAAGCCCTTTATTACCCACACAATAGCTGGGCTGTTAGGGACAGAACAGTAACACCCCTTGAAATGCAGGTAGAGCCTACTTCCTGGTGGTTCTCAGCTGCTCAGCCCCTCCAAGTTCTAGGTGAACAAGTGGCTTCATTGGTCACCAAGGCCAGCTTGAGTCTGTGTAGGCTGAGAATCAACAGACAGAGACTGGAGAGGGCTGCCATGGTTGCCTTGGCCCAGAGAAGAGGGCATGATGAGCCAGGTTACTGAGCCATGTGGGTAGGCAGTAGGGTAGGGGATCAGGGTTACTAGGGAAGGTAACCAGGACCCTCACCTGGAGTGGTACAGAGGCTCATGGAAGACCCAGGAAGTAGATGCAGGAAGTAGAAACAATGTCAGGGGTGGGAATAACAAATAGAAGATATAGGAGATAAGGGTGGGGGACAACGGGGCAGCAGCTCAATAAGACTTAGCTGGACATGGGATAAATACGAAGGAGATCAGAATGGCATGCTTTCATCCAGCATAAGTGTACATAATTGCAAAGCAGGCAGAGGTATGAGAAAAGTGGGTGGAAGTAGCAACAGGTGGTAAACCTGCACTGCAAACAGCTTGGCCTCTGATCCACACTGAGACACACAACGACTAGCCCAGTTTCTGATGCTTTTAAAGATTCAGTAACGATGCAAGTCCTTTTCTTTTACTACTACCTCAGAGAAGGCACCTTCTCTCGCAGCTTCCTACTGAGGATGTGTAGGGGAAGCTGTAGCCACGCCTTCTTAGGGGCTGGCTACAAGAGTACCTGAGGGCTTGTGAGGGCGTGGTCAGAGTGAGTAGGGGGACTGCGTTTTCGGTTTCGGTCTCTCTTTGCTTCTTGCTGTACAGACTACCACCGGCTGGCTGGTTCGCTCTGTAAGTAAGGCTTTTCCCTATTAAATACCCTTATATTTCTACCTGACTCCGTATTGGTAATTTACTACTATAAGGATGCACAGGTACTGGGAGCGAGCCTCTTCCTAGGGGAAATTCTAATCGCAGAGTAAAGCTGTTCATTCATGTGTTTTATATGTTTCCCGTTATACCATTTTCCTATTCTCAGTCTCTTTGTGGTTTCATTGAAAGGAGCTTAATCTGGACGTGCTGTGCAATTCACAGCTACTTAGCTAACCCATGTCCAGACCATGCAGAAGCATTCAGTCCCTGATGGAGGCCTTGGCTCAAACAGCGTCCTGTGAGGGGGGGATTTCAAGTAAGGTCAGTGACAGACCACGGCCACATCCAGTGAAGTGATGCCTGGTCCCCAGACATTTCACAGCTCGCTGGAAGACCTGGCTCCCCATGTGGCCCAGAGGACCAGCCGAAGGGCCATTTAAGGCCACTTAAGTCAGGACTGCAACTCACCTAGGACCTGGGGCTCCAGCCCTCGGGTAGGCTGGGCGTTTTGCCCCCGCCCCCTTGCACGATGACATCATGTTTGGGGGTTGAGTCGCCGCTTAAAAAGCAGCCTGTGCGCAGCCAGGAGCCTACACTGCAGAGGAGCACGTTGTGGTCCCAGGCTGCGCGCACGCTGCACTGGTGCGCCCCAGTCAGCTCCAAGCGCCTCACAGCCCCAGAGCGAGTGGCAACCTTGAGTCCCCAGGACAAAGATGCCCCACCGCCGCTTGCACGTGACCGTAGTCCTCCTGCTGGTGATCCTAAAGGAGCAGCCTTCCAGCTCGGCCCCACTCAACGGTAAAGTTTCTGCTTTTTTTTTTTTTTTTTTTTTAAGAGTCCTGCACAATCAGCCATGCCCGGGCAGAAGGATTTCTTGCCAGGCTCTTGCAATATAAAATCACTTCTGAGGAAGCAGGGAAGAGCTGTGTACAAAGCACATTTTCAAGGAAGGATGCCTGCGTTTCGTTTAGGATGCACAATCTACTGAGGTTGGAGACACGTTGCCTTTTTAATGGTGTTTTGTGCACAGTTGGCCTTACTGGTTTGCCTTTTTGCTGAGCACAGTAGCTTTGGAGATGGGGCTTGTTAACTTGCTAGCCAGAATCCCGGAACCACCTGCAGAGCGCTGAGAAATGTTTGGCTTCCTGAGTGGTGCGAGAGAGATCCGCAAGAAGGGGAGTCAGGATGGTCTTCAGAACCCATATAAGCAGTTAACCTCCATGTCAAAGGGATAAGGTAGCCCATCCTTAAATCATTGTCTTTCCCCTAGAGGACTCTACTACCCTGAACCTACATGTGTGTGCACGTGCGCCCCTATTTCTAGTTGTGAAAAGGGCTGAACTCTAAAGGGCAAGGGTGTCGGGGGTACTGAGTAGGGTGTCGGGTTGAGGTGGGAAGAGGAACCTGAGCTGTGGGCTCATGTCCAAAGCCTGGTTAATTAACTCCTTTAGAACAAGAAAGGGAAAGCAAGCTTTAGCCTGCCTCTGTCTCAGCTGCTCTTCTTAGGGCAGTGACTAGGTCTTGCTTGGGACAATCTCCACATTGTGGAGATGCTTGTGGGTATACAGTTCTTGGGTTGCAACATTTATAGAAAGGACCAAGAGTGACCATAATGGTTGAAAAATCGACCCCCTCCCCGCTGCTAGGCAGCAGGGAGAGAGCTGCTCAGTGGTGTCAGAACTCCTTTCTCCTCCTCAGAGGATGTCACTGTGCCTGTGGGAAAGGCCAGACCTGTGGGTAGCAAGCTACCGTTTCGCTGAATCTTCATCGGCTGGCTGGCAGGGTCTGCCTACTGTCACCTTCCCCATGCAGTGAGGAAGAAGCAGGGGGTGGGAGAAGTTCCCAAAAAATGGGAATCAGTTTTGAAAACTGCTAACTTTGGCTTAACTGCTAACTCTCAAGAAATCTATGGAGACCGAAGTTCTCCAGAAGTCTTTTAGTACTGAGTACCTCACACAAAGGACAGGGGCTTTCTACTGATCTTTTCTTTCCAAGTTTGGGGCTTCCTTTCTGACAGCTACTCCCCATTGTCCTCCTTGTTGGCCCCTTCTCTCCTCATTCTCCAAACTGCCTTGGGGGAGCTTGCAGTTAAATTCCTGCTTTTACCTCACAATGAGCAGTCTTAGCTACCTCTAGGTTCTAAGCTTTTATATTGCTATTTATTGGACCGGTTTCTTGGCTGTCTCGGGGGATAAAGTCAAACAAAACTCACAGAGGTGGGCAGAAGGTCAGTTAATCCAAGGTTGGAATTGGAGGGTTAGCTGAGTAAGGGGTCAAAGTGTGCTCTGCTGAGACTTGGGGGATTGAAATTCATCACAGTTGGCACTAATAGATGCCCAAGAAAAGTCTTTGGTTCAGGGGTGGGAGGAGCATAAGGTGCAGCTGAAGGTCTTCTGGAGACAGCATGGAGCTCTTTGTTACTGTGATTGAGGGTCACTTCAGGGAACTCAGTTGAGCCTGCTCTATCTGAACTGAAGGTGGAGGACTGGACAGGCTTGTGCTGCCAGCATACAGTGTCATTAGCACTTGGAAGCTGGAAGCCCCCAAGGCAGAAAGCTGGCAGGGCAGGACCCTGAACCCCTCCCTGGCCTTTGCTAAATACCCTTTCCTCGGGGCATCTCCCTGCCCAATGCCAGCTGGGTTTGCAGGCTCCAACAAGAACTGCTGAGATGCCCAAACCCAACCTTTTTTTTTTTTTTTTTTTTTTTTTTTGGAAAGGTAATGGTTCTATTCTAGGAGGAGCTTGGCCCCCTTAGGAAGCTCCTGAAATTCATGGGAATATGAGTGACGAATGTGCCAAGACTGTTAGTAGGCACATGGTCTAAGACAGGTCACTCTATATCACCTGTGAAAACTAAATTCTTCTCTTCCAAGGTGGGATGCCAATAAATAGTGCTTGACTCTATAAAACCTGAATGGGGACAATATAAACAAGTTTTCTAAGGTGGAGAAAATACTCAAAGAATTATTTAGAAGAATCCAAATTGGTTGTCCTAGCAAGTAAATGGCACCTGACTTTCAGGGGGCTGATACTGGTTAAAAAATCCTTGTAGAACCATCTAAAATTAACTTTGAAAATTAAAAACAAAATTAACATGGAGACAAAGACATTAAATAAGGCAGTAACAGCAATAATGGGTGTGGGGAGAAGATCAAGGTTCTCTTTCAGCTTTTAGTAACCACCATAGGCTTGAGTAGAAAATTCCTGCTCATGGTGAGTGGCCAGATCCTTGACACTATGTTTTATTGAGAGACAAAGGGGAGGCCAGTTCTTAGTCTTCCAGCTGTTCCTCCCAACCACAGACACTTAGAGATGGCAGGAGAGAGGTGCTTAGGCCTTATACGATCCCTAGTTGGATGTGTCGACCTTACCACAGAAATATGGCTTTACAAGTTACCTAATCAAACTTCGAATTTGATGGTTAAGTCTTTGGGGTTCCAGTCTTCTTCCAGAAGGAAGTTGAAAGTGAGCAGGCTGGGTGACAGGAGGAGAGTCCTGAAACAACTGTTCAAAAATATCATTTGGTGGAGGAATGAAGGACCTGTGTGAGGAGTGAAAGGTGTAGAGTGGGAGGTGGTGGGTGACTTGGGTTATATTCCGGTCCGAATTTCTCCTCCACATTCCTGCCACTACTGGGATTGCAACTCAGAGGAGGATGGTAGTTCCCTTGGGGGAAAACCACCTTCCATTCGCAGGGAGTTTTCTGCTCTCTGATGTGATGAGTTCTCCAAAATATGTTGCCAAGTGGAAAAAAGCAAGATGCTAAATAATGTTTCTAGTAGGGGAGGAAATAGAACATATGGATGTCTAGCCCAATGTGAGGAGCCCACTATCACCCCATACACAAGGTATCTACTGGAAGAGGGAAGGGAGGGTAGGAGAGAGAGCTTCCACTGAAAGAATATTTTGATGGCTTTAGGGTTTCAAGTGACATGGGATTCTCTGCCCAGTTAATAATGTTTGGCTTTTCTAAGATGTCTGGGGGTGGCATCTATTCCAGATGCCCCTTACTGAGTCCACAAACACTCCACAAACTCCCCATTCTAGGCTCTGTGTGGAGCACAGCTCTAAGGAGTCATGGTTCTGGCTCCAAGTCAGAAGTTTGTATTTGGGGGCATTGACTTCCTTGTCAGTCCCATCCACTTAAAAACTAAATGTGCAGTATCTTCCTGGCTCTGTCAGTGTTACTGTATTGTACTTATTTGTTTCTTTCTGACTTTTACAGGATCCAAGTGGACCTATGTTGGTAAGTAGAGATTTTAAATATATTTTCGGGGAGATGACTGAATTTAATAAGAAACCTAGAAACTTGGTCGAGGTTATTTGGGGCACGGTTGGGAAAATCTGAGTGTCATAGAGAATGGCTCCTCCTGAGAGTTACATTGTGCATTCTCCCCAGACAGAAAGACTGATATAGGCACTTGAACTGTGAGACTCAGTAGTGAGACTTCGAAATTCCAGTAAGGATTTCTCCCACAGGGGCCCTGGCAGGAGAGAAGCCTTCCTCCTCTCAGGACATCTTTCCTACAATAAACAAAGAAGAAAGGGCTCCTTTCTGGAAGTTTGGCTCAGGCCCTAGAACTTAAGCTGTCAGTGGATCTGAAATTAACTTCTTGTGGCCATGTTGTAAGCAAGCCATGGATGCAGAGATGATGGTCAGTCCTTAGTGAAGAGGGAGGCTTGACTTACATTAAATATGGTCCAGGGCTTCTATGGGGATGGGTCAAGAAATGCTAGCCAGCCTGGCCACCCTGCAAGACAGTTGGTGGGGTTACATTGTTGCCGTGAACTGGCAATGTCACCACTGGCTGGGGTGGGACCGGGAAGGCAGGCACTTGGTTGGCCCTCTGGCAGGTGCAGGAAGTTAGTGATCTTTTGATAGGGACAGAGTCATGGACCCTTCAAAAGATACAGTATAGACGTGACCTCACTGGCCCAGGTGGGTGAAGAAAGCAGAGGCGTTCTGCTAACATTAATGCCAGGAAATGCAATGGCTATGGGTAGTGACAGTCAGGGAGATTGATTGTGAAAGTAGAAACATACTGTCTGACCTTCATGTGCAAGGATTAGCCTGGAATGTTCTGGTAGCCCAGGAAGCATAGGAAAGTCAATGAACCTATAGAAAAGCACATTCTCCCAGGCCAAGCCTCCAGGTACTCTGCACCCCACCTCTACCCCCCCCCCAACCCCAGCACTGCATAGCTCCACTATTACTAACATCCTTTATGTACTTATTATGTGCTAGGAACGTTACTAGGTGGGTGGGTAATTAGAAGGGTATGCTGAGCTCTGTAGCTGGGAATCACTAAAGTTCATAATTCAAAGCAGAACATAATAGGTAGTAACAGCAGATTGCAAATGAATGGTCCAGTGCTCTGATTGTCAGAGGAGAGATCCAGAGCTGGGAAGTTACTAGACTTCCTGAAGGAACCAGGCTTCTATCTAGGCCCTAAGAGAATGGGGGGATTGGGGAAGGTGGGAGAAGTACTGTTGGCCCAGGTGCCAAGGGCATCACATGGACAGAGGGGAGGCTGAGCAAGCTGGAATTCTAAGGACGTGCATGGAGGAGGGTTTATAGAAAAGTCATGTGTTTGGAGGTCAGAAAGATTGGGTCAAGCAGAGGCAGCCAGGAAATTCCAGCTTGTTCTGCTTGCAGTGGGGCAGGGCAGAGAGCAGATCTGGGTTTTAGGAAGAAGGCACTTGGGCAGATGCGAGGGAGACAGGAAAGTGTTGGGCCTCTGTGGAAACTTTGTTCTGTTCCTTGTCTTCATACCTACCTTACAAAAAGGCAGGGTGAAGGTCCACCAAAGGAAGAATAGACAGAGTAGCCCCTCAGACAGGTAGTAAACATGTATGTGCATGTGTGCGTCACATTGGAGGATAGGTACTTGAATTCTGTGATTCTCAGGATGCTGTTTGGGCCCTCTGGGCTTTACTTGCCCCATGTGCAACCCTGGGGGTGGAGTTATCTAGACCAGTGTTCCTCAGCATCAACTACATCAAAATCTTCTTCAGTTCCTTCTGAAAATGCAAGTTTCTGGGTCTCAGCCTGTATGTAAGGAGGGACCTGAGAAAGCTGCATTTTAAAGAACATTCCCTCAAGAGATAGATTTACTTATTTATTTATTTATTTATTTATTTATTTATTTATTTATGGCATGCTGAGGATCTAACTCAAAACCTCTAGAATCTAGATGAACACTGCCCACTGAGCCATACTCTAGGCCTGAGACATCCTCATGCATGCCACTAAAGGACTCTATGCAGAAACTTCCCAAGATCCTTCTAGCCTGAGAGTCATGCTAACTTGTCCCACTGATTCTGCTGCCATCTCTTACACAAGAGGAAACTTCTAGAAGTATGTGGAAAAAGAATTCTACTCTAGTCTCTGGCACTGAACCTCATGGTTGACCTCATGGTAGAGATCCAGATGTAGGACCATCTTCCAGCCAAGATGGGCCAAGTGTTGCCCATCTGTTCCTAGGCTGGCTTTAGAATTCCAAGGCTGGATCATGAGAGAAGAAAGGTGATAGAGCCTGCTTCCCTACCTGTCCCAACTTTAAGACGGTGCCCGTCCACCCTATAGAGCTGGGCACTTGACCTGTTCAACTGCTGAGTGACTGACTTGCAAGTTAGGCTGTCATGTGAGCAGAGGACAAACTCCAGCCCAGTAAAGCAAATCTGTGGCTGAAAGTCAGAAGAGGGGTTGTCCTGGTGGTGGTGAGAAGGAGGTGACTGGGAAGTGACATCAGGGGTAGCTGGGTATATTCAGTTCCTTGACATGGGTACTGTGTTCAGTTTATGAAATTTCACCAAGCTGTTGGCTTATGATACATGTACTTGCTTCCATGTACATCAGGTTTGATGCAAGAAGTGAAGATTTCCAGCTATCTGGTAGAGTCATTTTTCCCTAGGTAGGCAGGTTTTGATAGTCTTATTATCAAGAAAACAACAAAAATCCCATTGTGGGGTAGAAAGATGACTCAGCGGGCAAAGGTGTCTACAGCCAAGCCTGACAATTTGAGTTTGCTCAGGTGGGATTCACATGGTGGAATGAGAGAACTAACTCTTCTTGCAAGTTGTCTTCCAGTTTCTATATATGCATCATGATGTATGTGCATGCATGCACATAGGCTTGAGCACACACACACACACACACACACACACACACACACACACACACACACACACACACACACCACAAATCCAGTGTATTTGAAACAATGGAGCAACCAAAAAGGAATGTCAGTGTTGAAAATAATGAACCAAGAGCAGAGAATGGTCATGGTGTTGACATCTGATGGTATCAGACATTGGTTTGGTTGTCTACAGATTTGATCTAGCTTGGAAAGAGATTCAGGCAAATCATAATTTTGGGGAACATGGACACCAAGGCCTCCCCTGGAGAGTTCCACTTCCCTTCAAGTTATCACCCACAGAGCATCTGTAAGGCTAGCCCCTCCATCTTGACATATGGGATTTGAGATCAATGGGGCAATGGTGGGCTACAGTAGAATATTGGTCTTCCTGCTCAGCTCAGTGATAGCTTGGACAGTCTTTGGCTTGGGGAAGATTTGGTGTGTCCCAGGCACTGCCATGCATTGCCAACACTGCTGTCCTTTCTCCATGTCTTTGTTTCTCCCCCACACAATGGATTCTCCATTCTAAAAGGTTTCTTTTGGAGGGCAGGGGAGATGGCTCATTTAGTAAAGTGCTTACCACGCAAGCATTAAGACCTGAGAACCACATAAGAGCTGGGAGCGGTGACACTTTTGTAATCCAAGTTCTGTCGAGACAAAGACAGATCCCTGGGGCTTACTGGCCAGCTAGCCTAGCCCAACTGCTTAACCCCAGGTCCCATGGAGAGACGATGTTTCAAAAAACAAGCTTAACAGAGTCTAAAGAATGACCATTGAGATTGCTCATCTTGCATACACATGAACATGAACACACAGAGAATTCCCTTTGGAAATCAGACTGGGATCCTCCATAACAGTAGACATCATGTTCACATCCTTCACGTCCTTCAGGCCCTGCCTCCACCTGCCCTCTGCCTGCCTCTGCTGGAATACAAAGCTGCTGCCAACACATGTGCCCTGGGGCCCTGCACGCTCTCTTTAAGCCCTTAAAGTCTCTAAGAGACTTTAAGACCCAGAGCTGGAACACAGGAAAGGAGTCTGGAAAACAAACTTTTCTTTCTACCCTACAGCAGGGATGTAGATCCATGTGGCTCCACCCCCAAACCAGTAATAAGAGCAGGCCTGTTGAAGCTAAAGGAAGGGCTGAAAATGGCAGATGGGGGCACATGCAATTACAAGGAAGATTTAATTAAGGGGGTGCATGTCTTTCTCTAGTGTCCCACAGCTGCCATCCTGAGCATGAATAAAGGCCCAAAGTACTCTTCGGAGAGCTGGAAAAGGCCAGACATGTTTTTCCTATTAGAGAACTGAACCTTGTCCTTGTGCTGGGGGATTTCCCTGAGACCAGCAATCTGACCCATTCTCATTTATTCAATCTGGGCTCCAGTCCCAGTTACTGCTAATTAAAGTGGTGACATGCAGGGTCCGTTGGGATGTGGTGTGGTCTGCCCACTTGCAAAGGGCCTCATATTTCCTGGCTTGCAGAATTGGGGCTTGAGTGTGTCCTGGAGACTCTTGGTCTGCTGCTTCCCAAATTCACCTGTCTTAATGACTACAGCTGGCCTTAGAGAGGACACAGATGGCAGTATTCATCCCTATAGTTGGGTGCCATGATTGGGTGGGCAGTTTGGCAGAAAACTGGGATGTGGAAGTATCCATACTTCTGGAATCTAGAGATTCTCCATGTCTTTGTTTCTCCCCCACACAATGGATTCTAGAGATTCCAGAAGCCAGCAGATCTTGAACTTATCCACTAGGCCACTTTCTGTTTGGCTGGTGTTAGGAAAGTAACTTGAGTGTTCTGTGCCTCAGTTCCTTAGTTATACAACTGGGAGTGATAGCAGTTAGCTCAGTGTCTGAAAGCATGGTCCTTGGGCAAAGACCATCAGCATCAATGCGACCATTAGATATGGTGGTTCTTGGCCCTGCCCCAGGCCTACTCCACTAATCATGAACTTTGCTGGGTATGTTCAACTATCATTTTAGCAAACCCTCTGTATGAGTCTGGTGTGTACTCAAATTTAAGAACTATCCTGGGCTTCTTAGGGCTGTGGTGAGGATCAAATAAGATAATCCATGGAAAGAGGCTGGCTCAAAGCTAAAAGCC